CAGCAAGCTCACCTGTAGATTCTGTAGTAACAAAAAATGATCACACACAGTGGCAGCACGAAGCCAATAAAAATCAGCAACATATTGTACGCCACTCCAGCCTTCGTTTCCGGCACCCAATTGGGACAGCAGCTGATACCGGAGGCGCCTGGGACGAATTCGTTCCAGCCCACTAACGGCGGGATCATGGCCACTACTCCATACACCCAAGTGAATGTGATAATGGCAGCCATTTTGATGGTGGAGATTTTTGTTGTCTTGGTGACTGAACTGACACCGTGAAACATAACCAAACTCATCATGGTCAGATTGGCGATTGAAGCGATGCCAGTAGAGCCATTGATAAATCCCGACCATATGCAGCTTATCCGACTTTCACGAACGTTAAGGCCAGAGGACGTATAGTTACTTGCGACGACCACAGGATAGCCAAAGACAATTATGACGATGTCAACAATCGCTAAGTTTATCATGAGTGGAGTGATGTTTTTCTTTTTGTGTTCAGGGCAACGTAAGACCAGGATTGTCAGAACATTGCCAACCGAACCGAATACCAAGATTAGGGTCATGACGATACCATATGGAATGAGGATGTTTGCACTCAGATAGAATTCTTGATTGCTGTTAATTGTTGTCGGAGTCGTGCTCAGAACTCCAGTTGACTGACTCATGACTTTCCTTGTCAAAGCTTTACGCGTTTGAATCGTGATCAGTTGTTAGACTTGCAACTTTCTGTTACGTTTATCAGTTCTGTAAAGGAGTTTAAAATATTTTCATGTAAATAGATATAAAGACAGATAATATCATTAAAAAATATCTATAGTTCACATAGCCGTTTTGTAGCGATCTCGCACACTTCATGATATGACAGCAATCTTTGTTTTGTAGGCATGTTGGGTTGTAATTACCTATCTATGAGTGTAAAACTAAGAGTTTCGTATCTCCCTAATTCATTGTGCGAAAAGGCTTAAGCACTGAGTTTGAACTTTGCATAGAAAATATTGCTCATCTTTGGTAGTAGTTTTTCATTATTTATGGAAACGAAGCTCTTTGTTTCCAGTAGAGAAGAAAGGTTTAAAAGTACGGCGGCAAGATTTAAATTATATCCGAAGAGCTTAAAGGATCTTGGTCAACCACGCCCCTGTATTTGTTTACTTTCGGAAAAAGCACAATAACGTTCTTACGATAATCAACATCAAGGGAACATCAGTTGAGGTTCTCTTATTGGCACAAAATTAATTTGATGGTGAATGAAACTAGAGACATAATAGAGGAAGCGACGATGATTGAAGTCCCACGTAGGATACATTGGTTAGGATGCAAGAGCACTGGAACCATCAAATGAAACATTAAGTCCAAAGACGATGGTATAAGAAATAACGGATATTCCGGTGCGTGAACGCAAAGCATTTTTCGATTGGATATTTTAGTTCATAATACAAATTACGAACCACAAAGCACTTAGATTAAAATCCTTCCGATCGCGCTTTTTTATTATTTATTAAGTTTATCCAGCGAACGAATGCGAAGCGGAGGCAAACACATAGGGCGAGTCACGGACAAGAATTCCTATGTTTGCCTCTGTCTTGCATTCGTTTGCTTGATAAACATAATAAATAATTAAAAAGCGCGGTCGGAAGGATTTTAATCTTAGTGCTTTGTGGTTCGTACTCATTGCGAAAGAAACTAAAACATCTCATGAAACAATGATTTGCGTTCACTTACCGTAATATCCATTATTTTCTATACCATCGTCTTTGGACTTAATGATTTATATGCTGGTTCCAGCCCTCTTGCATTCTAACGAGTGTTGGAAAGGTTAACGAAAAACACGACACTTGTACACACAGAGATGAGCATGCTCGTACGCTTCTAAACACATCCGAACACGTCCAACATATTGCTAACCATCACATTCTTGTTAGCTTTATTAGAAAACCCAACGCGTATCAAAATAACAAAGCGTAGTTATTAAAACAAGGAATGACCTAAAAAAAAGAACTTAAACTGGCCTGTAATGACCTAAACAAAAGGAATAACCTAAAATAATCTTGACTGATGTCTAAGATGGCCAAAAATGAAAATAATCTCGACTGATGTCTAAAATTACCAAAAATGACGTTCAAGCCTCACTCAAAAGATCCAAAATAGTAGTTGGTAGTAGCACAATGATCTAAATTGTTCTAAGTGATCTAAACTGGCATTTTAAATAAAACCGAGATAAAATAGCTTTCAGTGATCTATGGCGAATTACATAACTGAGTGTTTACCTAAATAATACTGAAACGCAGAAGGTGCCCTGAACAACTGGAGATTCCTTTCCCGATAATTACCACGCGATTTGGCTTTGCGCGAAGTGCTTAGTTTTTCCCCAGCAACGCGGATTTGATTGGTGCGAAGTCCCAAGTTTCGCTTAA